AATATACATCATAGAAATATACAATGTCAGAAGTGCACTCTTCTAGGTGGGTCTCTGGCACCAGAAAGGGTTAAGCCCTTGACTTTTAACTGAAGGGGTGTCCATTCCAACCCACCCAGGGGCACCTCAGTGGCCGTCTGCTCCCACCAGCACAGGGGAAAAAGCGGTCTCCAACAGGCTGCGGTCACTACATAGCCTCAGTACCTCTGTCTGGCTTTGCCTGTTTCCTCAGATTCCTGAGGAATTGCCTGGCACACCCCAGGCATTCTGGGCAAGGACAGCAAGTGGTCAGTGAAGGAAGGGCCTTTACATGACCCCAAGCTCTGGGGTCAGAGCAGTGATGGCCATTCCTGGAGCCCCTGTGTGGAGTACAGTCAGTGCACTTGCTCCCTGTTCATTGAAAGGTTGGATGTTTGAATTCATTTGGAGGTACCTCAGAAGAAAGATCTGGCAATCTCCTTCCTAAACATCAGCCACCAAGACTTCATGGAGCACAGCTCTATCCTGTCACACATGGGGACGCCATAAGTAAACTATAATGTGGACCCTGGTTAAGAGGTTCGAGCACATCTCTTCACAGAGGTAGTTTGGGGACAGGCATGTGTCTAGCACCAGTTCTGAGCACCAAGGGCTTTTGTCACACCAAGTGCCCATGGACACCACCCAAAGGCTCCCAGCACAGTGGCCTCTTGTTCCCTGGACCCTCAGTCCTCTGACATTTGTTTGGGGCCCCAGATCTGCCCATTATAACCCAAGGAAAATCCTGGACAACAACAGCTTCATTGATTTTCACAGTCCATCCCGGCCAAGTCAGGGGACGGCACAATTTCTGTCTGTGGGTGACAGAAACAAAGCACCCCAAAGATGCTCAAGAGTGAATATCACTTCCTGTCTTCATAGACGGGACGGAGACTTCTCTGGAGTTAGGTCAGTTCTTGCGGAGTCCCTTGCCAGCTGTGGTTTTGAGATAACTTGGTTTCTATTTTAAGCCAGAATTATTAAGCCTGAGACTCCCCCCACCCCCACAGGCCTCATGCACAGCTTAGTAAGACCCCTGAGAATGAAATCAACAACGTTCCTCCTTCCCAAGAACCAAAGATCTAGAAAGTGGGATCAAGAGATGGTCCACATGTGGGAAGAAGACCAGACCAAGGGCAATGTAGCTTTTAGCCTTTTGTTGAAAGGACCAAAAGCTTTCGTCTTGCCAATTGGATGAAGACATCCACACAAAAAAGAGACATATTGTGTGATTCCAACAACATGACATTCTAGAAAAGGCAAAACTCTAAAGACAGTGAACCGATTCATGGATGTGAGGGGAAGGAGGAGAGAGGAATGAACAGGTAGACCCCAGGGCATTGTTAGGGCAAGGAATCTATTCTGTGTGGTTTGGTGATGATGGGCCCATGGCATTCTGTGAATGTAACACAAGGGCTTGAGTGAATCCCAATGTATCAATCTCAGTTCATCCATTGTAACAAATATACCCCAGAAATGCAACATGTGAATTACAAGAAAAGAGATACCTAGGGACAGAGGAAATATATAGGAGCCTTCT